TGACGTGGAAAGGATAGGAGCTCAGGAAGGACCAAATATATCTGGGCACAGGGGTCTTTTCTGAGACTGATACTCCACCAAGGACCAGGTATGGATATAACCTAGAACCTCTGCTCGGATGTAGCCTGTGGTAGCTCAGTAACCAATTGCTTTCGCGTAGTAAGGGGAACAAGGACTATTTCTGACAGAAACTCAATGGCAGGCTCTTTGACCTCCCCACACCCCAAGGAAAGAGCAGTCCTGCTAGGCCACAGAGGAGGACTTTGCAGCCAGTCCTGAAGATACCTGATAAAACAGGATCAGGTGAAAGGGGAGGAGGTTCTCCCCAATCAGTGGACTTGGAAAGAGGCAGGAAGTGAGGGAGGAAGGGTGGGGTTGGAAGGGAATGATGGAGTGGGATACAGCTGGAATACAGAGTTAATAAAATGTAACTAATAATAAAAAATAAAAAATAAAAGTTATCTCTCTCTTTATATATACATTTTCTTCTTATTTTTGCTATGTTCTAGTAATGCAAATTCAAAAATCTATTTTGCAAATCCAAGAACTTCAAAGTTTCGATGTTGTGAAGCTACATACTACTTGGAACCTGGTAGCTTGCATTAGAAAAAGTATATGGATATCTTTTTAGTTTACTCCTTTTACTTTTTTCTCTTTACGGTTTTTGTAGGAATATTATCTAGATTCCTTAAAGTAGATAAAAGTAGGAGAATCTCCATTAATTGAATCTTATTGACTCCTTAAAATACTAACTTCTCTTTCTACATGAGACAGTCATGTTTTGTGGAGATATTGAAAAATAGGGATCAGATATGTCTAGAGGTCTATACTCTCATCTGAACATCTCATTGAGTTAGTTATTGGTAGTCTTGCTAATTCAGTATGAGACCAAATCTTATGATGGTGGCACATGAGCCAGTGACTCTTCAACTTGAAAGTCATTCTGGAAAAAAAAAAAAAAAAAGATGATTAAGCATGGAATTTGTGTGGTACTTGGATAAACTTTTTAACAAAATGGGTTGATGCACTTATAATTATATATATAGTCATTATAATTTTGCCTATAATGAAGCATAGATGCTAGGTAGTTGAAATATTTAACTTTACAATTATTCATAGTACACTTATAGACAAACCTAATACTGAAACTCACTTCCATACTGCTAGTTCTTCACAACTGTTTGTGATCTGTTTGGTGAGTTCATAGTTAGCAATTTCCCAAAGCCCGCATATTGTTTGATTGTCTTCCTACTTTCATCCTGTAAATACACGTATTCTTCAGAAGGGAAAGCCCAATAGATCCATATATAGACTGGATATCTTTCTATATTTTAACTTTAGGCTACAAACTGAGTTTAAAGTCTGACCTTCCAGATCCAGTTTTTCTCTTTTTCTGTCTGCCCATCCTTCTCCATGTTGGAAATATTTTCAGTGGGCTACAGTCTTTGTCCCACAGACCCTATACAATCAGAGAGAGTCTACAGATAAAACAAGGGACATTTAGGGGAGGGAGTGCTTTATTGTGAATTTAGACTCTAACAAGGGGAAACTGCACACGGTGGATTAGATGGAAAGTGACACATTTAAATACCTGTGAAAACATTGCTGTTACTGCAAGAAAAAGAACCCTGTACTCAAACTATAATCCAAAATTCTGGTGCCTTAACGAAACTCTATACCCAATTCCTTCAAAATTAAACATTACACTCATCTTCTACTGCCTGTGTCTTATCTTTGTTTCCATATCTTCTAAATTACTCATTTATCTTTTTTTTTTTAAAGCTGGGTTGCATTACCACAACTGTTCTCTATAATTTTACTTTGACATATATCATAAAATATTTATCATGTATTTATTATGATATGTGTGTTCATATGCATGTGGAGTGGTATGCATGTGAATGTGTATGTGTCAGTGGTATGAGCACAGGATAGTGTACCTTTCTGTATCAGCCTTTTCTATACCACACACAGAAGCCGGGAGGAAGGTGTGTCATGTCATTCTCTCCCACTGTTCTTTCGCAGGAATTCTCTCTATGAAACCCACATTTTATCTATCAGTGATCATCCCTGAGTTTCCAGGATCTCTTCCCCACAGCTGATAGGATAGGCCTGTGTGAGATGACACGTGGATTGCTGTGCAGATGTCTGGCTCTGAATTCAGGTCTTCATGGTTGCAGAGCAACTGCTTTTAATCGCCGAGCCATCTTTCCAACCTGCTATTCAAAGTTCCCTTGAACTCCTTTTTTTTTTTTTTTTCACAAATATTTCTGTGATGCTTTATCACATTTCATAATCATGGATGGATCCTTCTTTTTGTAAAACATGAAATTGGTGTTCTCTTATGCATTCTTTTGCTCCTTGTTACAGCTAGTTTTTACACTGTTATCTTTTCTACGTATGATAGCAGTCCCTATTCTAACTGATACATGAATCTACAAAAAAAATATTAGAATGTGCAATCACATACAAATGCTTAGTACTGGATAAGTGCGCAGAGAATACCAGACTTAAGTGGCCAGCAAATCTGAGTGAAGTTTGAACTTTTTCCATGATTCACGAAACTTTAGTTACTCAAGTTTGGGAGGTATATGAACTACACCTGTGGGTTTAGCTCATATTAATTAACTAGAAATGATGACTAACATTAACTCTCAATCTAAAGTCAAGATATATTGACTCAATACCAATTATGACTACATTCCATGTATCTAGAAACTAATAATTGTAATATAATTAAAAATAATAATTTATCAATTAATTAAATTACATACCACCCTCACTTGTATAGTGAAATTTTGGAGAGTTATTAGGCAGGTTTGCAGGTACAGCGCCCTGATGGTGAAAGTTGGTCCCAATGTACAGTATAATCTTGGTCTAGCTTGTAGCAACACTTTCTTCTTTGAAAATACTATGAAAGTCAAAAGAGATTTCATACTCAGAGTCTGATTCTTATGTTCAGCCTGATATAGTAAAAAGAAGCTAAGATTTTAGATGAATCATTCATTCAACATTTTGTATTAGCCTAGTTTAGATAAAATGGATAGGCCTTGTGCGTGAAATAACTAATAATATCTAGGTCAATATTTTGTTAGCATGAATCCAGTATTTGAGCTGCAAAATAGATACCATCAAGTTTTATATTAGTTAAAGCTACAATGAGAAAACTTTTATATGTAATTCAAAAAGAGAAAAATTAATATAATATTTCAATAATTATTTTATGAAGGCTGGAAATTGAGGATGGCAAAACTCACCTTTAAATTCAAGAACAGGATTTGTGTTCCAAACAATGGGGTTCACAAGTGAAAAATAGGGAGAAATACCAATTTGTACCTTGGCAAATGCCAACTCACATAGATGAGAAGAAATAGAACACAAAAAAATAGTCCATGAAATGGGTGCAAAGCCACACCATGTTACACTGGAAGCAGAAGGAGCTGATAGTTGGTCAGTCTAGTGAAGGTCAAGCAGGGCCAGTATGCTTACAAGCAAGAAAGTTATCAGGACTTCCCTTACGACCCCAGAGAATAAGTCAATGAAGTAAGTTTAAGATGTAAATACACGAAGAAATTAGGCATGTTCATAGGTTTATTCACCCATACATAAACAAAATTAAAAAGAAGAAATGGAAAAATTGGCAAGAGTGATAACAGAGAGGAGTGACTGAGGTCTAAGGCCTTTTTTTGTAATCTGGGAAATAAGAAAATATAACAATGTTTGAACCATGCATGGAGAGGACATAAAACCCCGGCTCAGATGTAGCCCAGAGACTCAGTCTCCAAGTGGGTACCCTAGTAAGGGGAACAAGGGCTATATCAGGCATGGGATCAGTGGCAGACTCTCTGATCACCTTCCCCTGGGAGAGGGAAGCAGCCTTACCAGGCCACAGAGGAAGACAGTGCAACCAGTCCTGATGAGACATGATAGGCTAAGGTCAGATAAAAGGGGAGGAGGTCCTCCCCTATCAGTGAACTGGGAGGGAATAAGGGAGAGGCTACAGCAGGGATACAATGTGAATAAATTTTAATAAATAATAAATTAATTAAAAAATAAAAGCAATTAAGGTAAGAGAACAGTATAGATAATTATAGTATAGATAATTATAGCCTACTAAAATACCCATTGTTTAACTTAGAATGCTTCAGGTGTATTACTTTTATTTATTGTCTTTTTTGTATTGTTATAAAACATAAACAATTTATGCCAAATAGCCACATATTTTGAGTCATTTAACTTTAATCTTCAGAATTCTTATCATTCATCCTGTGGGAAAATTCTATTGTTGTAATACATTAGAACAATATTTTCAGGACAGATAAGCAGAAATATCTTCTATGGAAATGCTTTTCAAGTCTCGCAAATCATGCCTTCATTAAAACTGTGAAATGTGTGCCCCTGTCACCCACTGTCTTGTCCATTCATCATGATGAATCTGAATTTACTTGGAGGGTTTGCAAACTTGTGTTTCAATGATATATTTTTTTCTGGAGAAACTGAAGCACAATGAAATATATTATGTTCAGTATTTCTATAATATTTTCTACCAATGAAAAGTAAATTATTGAGGGAGAATATACACACATTGATTTTATGTGGGTTACTCATGGATTGGTAAATCAAAACAAGCTTCCAAAGATAGAAAATCAATTGATGTGTCAAGCAGAGAAGGCATGGATAGGGAAATGAACCTTGACACTGAAAGTTTTTCTCCTTAAATAATTTAATTTAAAAAAAAAAATAAATAAATAAATAATTTAATTTGCCAGAATTTAAAAAGGCTCGTAATTTTAACACAGTAATACGGCAACAAGCAAAACACTGAGCACTGATCATCATTAAACTTTGTTATCAATTCTTCATATCCTGGTGTGTTTTTAAGACAACAGACATAGATTTCTCTTTTGGTCAATGATATTAAATATTAATGATGTTTATATTTAAGTATTTGTATGTGCACAGTTTAATATAGAGACTGTATTATTGTTTTTTCTTTACAGAATTGCTACCCAGTTGTCAGCAGCTGAATTGCCAGTTTAAATGTGCAATGATCAGAAATATTACAAGATGTTATTGCGAGGATGGATTTGCAATAGCAGAAGATGGGAGAAGCTGTAAAGGCAAGTATAGTCTGAAATGTCATTCTCTTTGTATTAGTTCACATGCCATTATTCTAACAAAGTACATGAAATAAGAAAATTAAGAAGGAAGCTTTGCTTTGGCTCACAGCTCTTGAGGCTTCAGACCCTCTTTAAAAGTACTATAGGATTTGGATATGGCAATACAATAAACAAAACCTGTCCCACTATGTCATAAAGAAACAGAAAACCAGAAAGTATAGGACTACACTCCCTTTCCAGATAAGTCCTGGTGATCCACGAATAGCCACAAGGTCCTAGTTCTTAACTGTTTCCTAATAATATCATGGGACAATTATAAAGATTCCATTCATGCTCCTTGAGGCACCATTTACAGTTGAAAATATTGCACTATTTAATACTTGTATATACAGGCTTACTTGATAGAAACTTAATGAGGTAGCTGACAACAATCATTTGCCATGTTACATTTTTCTTTTTTTTTCTTATAATGTAAACATTAATATTATCCATAAAGCATAAACATTATGTATAAATTTGTACAATATTTCTATTTATTTTTCAATAATAGCAAAAATTGGAAAGAACAGAACTAATATTTTAGTCTACTACTACCACGCTAGATTAAATTATTTTAACTACCTAATTGGTTTATTGCTATCATATGACTGTAGTGTAGTACATATGTCATTAATTAAGTTAAGAACTGCACCCTACTCTCAACAAAGGACAGGTCAACAAAACAGAAATTAAAACAAGAAACAATGATTCTAACAGATGTGATGAATCAAATGGACCTAACAAATATCTACAGCAACCTTCCATCCAAATACAAAAGAATTTAATGTCTTCTCAGCACCTCATGCAACCTTCTCCAAAATAGATCAAATAATTGGGCACAGAGCAAGCCTCAATAGATAAAAGAAGATTGAAATAATCCCTTGTATCCTGTCAGGCCACCATAGAATAAAGCTGGACCTCAACAATAACAGAAATAGCAAAAGCCTACACGCACATGGAAACTGAAGAACTTGCTACTCAATGACAGCTGGGTCAAGAAAAAAAAAAAAAAAAGAAATTAAAGACTTCCTAGAATTCAATGAAAAGGAATGCACAACATACCCAAACTTACATGACACAACGAAAGCAGTGCTAAGAGGAAAGTTCATAGCACTAAGGGCCTTCATACAAGCAGCTTAACAATTTACCTGAAAGCCCTAGGGGGAAAATAAAAGTAGACACAGCCAGGAGTAGAAATCTGGAAACAATCGAACTCAGGGTGGAATTCAATAAACTAGAAACAAAGAGAACAATTCAAAGAATCAATGAAACCAAGAGCTGGTTTTTTGAGAAAAATCAACAAAATAGACAAACCCTTGGTCAAAGTAACTAAAAGGCAGAGAGATGCTATCCAAATCAACAAAATCAGAAACAAAAAGTGGAACATAACAACAGAAACTGAGAAAATCCAATCTTTAAGTCTTACTTCAAGAGCTTATAAAGAAACAAAATTTGAAAATCTAAATGAAATGGACTATTTTCTTGATTGATTCCACTTACCAGAGCTGAATCAAAACCAGGTAAATAAATTAAATAGTCCTATGACCCCTAAAGAAATAGAAGCTGTCATCAAAAGTTGTGCATAAAAAAAAAAAAAAAAAAAAGCCCAGAGACAGATGGTTTCAGGGCAGAAGTCTACCAGAACTTCAAAGTAGAGCTAACTCCAATTCTCTTCAAACTATTCCACAAAATAGAAACAGAAGAAACAAACATTACCAAACTCATTCTATGAAGCCACAGTCACCTTGATACCTAAGCCACACAAAGACCCAACAAAGGAAGAGAATTTCAGGCCAATATCTCTTATGAACATTGATGCAAAAATACTCAACATAATACTCGCAAACCAAATCCAAGAACACATCAAAGATATCTGCTACGACCAAACAGGCTTCATCCCAGGTATGCAAGAGTAGTTCAACATATGGAAATCCATCAGTGTAATCCACCATATAAACAAACTCAAAGAAAAAAACAAAACAAAACACATGATCATCTCCTTAGATGCTGAAAAAGCATTTGATAAAATCCAACACTCATTTATGTTTAAAGTCCTAGAGAGAGCAGAGATAAAAAGAACTTACATAAACATAGTAAAGGAAATATACAGCAAGCCAATAGCCAACATCAAACTAAATGGAGAGAAACTTAAAATTAATCCCCACTGAAATCAGGAACAAGGCAAGGCTAGAAACTACAGGGGGGGATACAAAGTGAATAAAAATTAATTAATAAAGATTAAAAGAAAAAAAAAGATAAAAACACCATTGGGTTGGGGGAAAAGGACTCTGGCTAACATGCTCAATCCTCATTCAGAAAGGCAAAGGGATGGACATCAATGAGGGAGAAAACAGTGAAGACAACAGGACTCTACCACAGAGGGCCTCTGAAAGACTCTACCCTGCAGGCCAAACTTTGGGCAGAGTGCAAGGAATCTTATGAAAAAAGGTAGAGATTGAAAAACCTGGAGGGGACAGGAGCTTCACAAGGAGAGCAACAAAACCAAAAAATCTGGGCCTAAGGGTCTTTTCTGAGATGGATACTTTAACCAAGGACCATGCATGAAGATAACATAGAACGCATGCACAGATGTAGCCCATGGCAGCTCAGTCTCCAAGTGGTTACCCCAGTAAAGGGAACAAAGATTATTTCTGACATGAACTCATGGGATGGCTCTTTGATTCCCAACCCCCTGTTGTGAGGGGGCAGCCTTACCAAGCTACAGAGGAAGACAATGCAGCCAGTCCTGATGAGTCCTGATAGGGTAGGGACAGATGGAAGAGGAGGAGGACCTCCCCTATCAGTGGACTGGGGGAAGGGCATGGGAGGAGAAGAGGAAGGGAGGTCTGGATTGGAAGAGGATAAGGGAGAAGGCTACAGCTGGAATACAAAGTGAATAAATTGTAATAAATAAAAAGTAAATTTAAAAATCCCTGTGTATGTAATAATATTTAAAATTTTATATCAGTAACATTAGAGTTTGGCAGTTTATTAATACTACAGTAATAAATGTAAATATTAACTTTCATAACATTTCCTTTTCTTAATTCTAGTTTGAGGGCCTAGTCATTGGTAGGGCAATTCTTGCCCAGCATGTGTGAGATCCTGGGTTTGAATCTAACTAACAGAAGCCTTTATTACTCCCGATTTTCTGAACACTCTTCAACAAACGGTTATTCACAAAATCATTTATTTGGAACACTGAAATAATATAGATCATTTTTCTGTCATGTTGACTTCAATTATGTGTATGTTAAAATAAGTACAATTTTTATATATTTATAAACAAATTTTATGTGCATTTAAACTGTACTAAGTATATGTCTATTTATACACAAGTATATGCTTAAATCCACTTTTCATATACATAATAAGATAAATTTATAAATTATATGCATAAAATATATTACAAAGAACAAAGAATAAATGTATTGTCCAAACAACTAAAACACAGTATTTTCAAAACAATTGTTTTTTAAAGTAATTCGATTTGCTAATTATTTTACCACCTTTGTCTTAGTACAGGGTTTTAAACTTAAGAGAATTGTGAGAGAAAATATTTTCAAAATTCTAATGTCAAAAGCATTACAAATAAAATAAGACTATCTTATCGACTTTTCTGTTGCTCTTAAAGTACCATGACAACACAAGAGTTCACCAGGGACTTAGGATCCAGGAGGATGAGTCCATCACCTATATGTCAGACAGGCACAGAGCTAGAATAGAGAGCTCCCATCTCAAACAACAAACAGGAAGCAGAGAGATCAAACTGGGAATGGTACGAATCTTTTAAACTCCAAGGTCCCCAGTGACGAAAATGCCATATTTCATTTCGTCATTCATCATTCATTCAAAAATGCCTCCTTAAACAGCACTGCCTAGTGGGGATCAGACATTCAAATGACTAAGACATATCTCATTCAAGCACAAAGCATTAAATCTACAGGATTCATGAAGATATTTCTTTTGCTATATACTTGGGATTTGACTTTTAGGTCATCGGTTGTTTGGTGTGGAACACAAATGTTATAAATGCGTTCATAATCAGATATTTACTGTCTCCAGAATCTGCCATAGTGAAACAAAATACTGCTTTCAAATAACATTTAAAATTCAGAAGACTATACATAAAAGTTCATATTTTTTGAAAGAACCCTCCAACACTAATGTCTCCATTAATATGAAGTAATCCCCAGAGAAGTGGTATGAAATATAAATGTCTGTGAACAGGCTACATTTCCCTTGTTCAACCCTGATCTTACCGTTCTTACTTTGGATCAGGGGATGGATCTCTGGCCAACCTTCTCTCTCACTAATATTTAACCAAAAGGATTCGGATTTGTGCTTTCTGGAGTCAAGGTGAAACTGCATTGAAGTCTACAAATTTTTAATCTCTTAATCCATGTCCAAAGCTAAGCCATAGTGAATTTCTGCTATTGATTAAAGGGAAAAAACAAAAGCAAATATGTGCTGATTATTTTCGAAGTAACTCCTAGAAAATGAGTTGCTTTTGTTTTCTTTGCACACTTTAGTGGCCATATGTGAAACTCATTTGTTCCCTTCAAAGTATTTCTAGAAAATTTCCCATCCTTATGTGGGACACAAAGAAAGCGACCTCCCAAGAATTGGCATGTACATTCTTCTGCAGAGAATTTTGTGGAGTTGCATCAAAGCCACAGCTGTATATGCTACCTAGGTCAAAAACAGCAACAACAACAAAGGAAATAATTACTCATATTTTTTTTCCTGGGTAATTAAAATAATACCAGTAAAACTAAAATAGAAACCAATAATATTAAAGTTGGGGAAAAAAACTGTGGAAATAAACAAGCATCATTACTACAAAGAAAAGGTGAACTTTTTCAAATGTAAAACTGTATTTCTTTCAGCAGTATTGTAGATGTAGCTTCAAACCTTCTTCTTTCTATCCCCCAAAGTACTTACTTCAAATGAGCCATCTATGACTGCAGGTTATTATAGGACTATAAAGAAATCCAAAGTCAGAGCAAAGATTTCCATATAGGCTAATTCTTTTCCAATTTAAATAGCTCCTTATGCTACACAGCATTTTTTTTTTTTTTACTTTCCCTTATTAAATTTCTTTATTAGCTTTGGCTTTGGTTTTCCCAGAAGCCAACCCTGAAGCAAGAATTCAAATGAAAGATTATCTTGCTTCCTTTTCCTCTCTGTCTTCTCTCTTCTCTTCTTTTTCTTCCTTCTCTTTTCCTTCTCTACTTCCTTCCTCACTCTCTTTTCCTCCTTCTCTTACTCTGCCCTCCTCATTTTCCTTGTATTCTCATAATGGTGGTGAGAGGTGAAACAAAAAGATAATGATTAGTAATTTCTGAGGAATTAGTATAGTCGTAGTGAATCTGATTAAAGTATAAACATGTGTCAAAACCTTGTAGATGGAGGGATAAAGAAACTGGACTTTTAATATTGTCGTTCCCAGGAGTAAAGGGTTGTGGTGGAGGTAAGATCGTCTCCTCTTGAACTTTGCCTGTCTTTCTTTCTCCTGGAGTGTCTCATGGATGGGAGAGCATGGTTGTTACGATACCTTGCCTTGCCAAATTGCACTGAAAGATTTTTGGACAATGGGCAGTTATTAACTGCTACAGTCTCTTGAAAAATCCCTCTATAAATTATTGCAAAGAATTCTTTGTTCTCCTACAGTGTGACTTTCTAATAAGTTTCCTTCAGATTTGGATAATAGATTTACCTTTCTCAACATAGATCTTAGTAGTTACCCTCTGGTAGCCATTAAATCAACTTCATCTCCCTACTTTTATTTTAATATATTAGTGTTAATTCTCATACAACATTTTTCATATATTCACTTTTATATTTTTATTTATTCAAACCATCTCATGTATTGATTAATTATTCTCCAGCTTCCACTTTTCTTACATATTTTTCCATGTTAGAAAATATAAATATAAAAAGAAATAAGCAATAAGAAAAGAAGAAAGGAAGGAAGAAATTCTTTTTTGAAATGTTCTTTTCCATTTTTTATTTTAATTTTTATTAATTACACTTTATTCACTTTGTATCTCCCCGTGGCCCCCTCCCTCCTCCCCTTCCAATCCCACCTTCCTTTCCCCTGCTTCACATATGCCCCTCCCCAAGTCCACTGATAGGGGAGGAAGAAATTTTTAAAGGTCGATGAAGAACTTCTCTCTCTGTGCTCATGACATCACAGCTGTCTTCATTCCTCTTTTGTATCCAGTTCTTTGGCAGCGAACTGCATTATGTTCTTAAATTTGTTACTTCTATTTTACTCTTTCATACATTACTGACTTACAGCCTCATTTTTCATTTAAAGCAGCTTTGAAATCTCCTTTATCTTATGGCTAAGAAAGGCCAATCCTTTTAACATTGTTCTCAATGACTTTGAAAACTTGGAATATTTGAAATGCCAGCATATTTCATAGTATCTAGGCCCCTTCTGTTCCTTGTTACCTTACTACAATTAGATGATTACATTCATATATAAGTTCAAGGTTATATGAGGGATTTGGACATCCTCGAAGCAAAGCTCTTCTTCTTATGTCTCACATACTACAATGTGAAAGCCGCTCAAGTAAGGCAGTTTCCCCACATAGAATACCTGATAGGAAACAATTTAGTATGTAATATAAGATTCTCCAAGATTAGTACCCTACTTGCTGACTAGTATGTCTATTACTCATTTGCTCCTAACTTCCAAGCATGCTAGATCTGATCCCTCACTATATATTTACCACTGCTTTTTACACATTCTTTGAAGAATACTCTACAGGAACTTGAAAATTGAAATCTCATCTACTCAAATCTATACTTTCTATATTCTCTGCTTCAATATTGTATCACTGCTCATTTCTGTTGTCTAATTTTCAAATTATTTAATTTCTTAAGCTTTTTTTCAGTTCTTTTTTCCTATTATTACTGACAGTGACTTCACAGTCTAAGGAATTTTAAGCAAGTTCGTGGGGTACCCAAGGAGGATCAGGAGTTCAAGCCTAGGAATTTCAGGCCAGCCTAGACCTTGTGAAAACGTGTCTCAAACAAATGTAAATATACACACATATATTGAAGACATATATATATATATAGAGAGAGAGAGATTCAGTTTTTTTGAAATTAATATTCAATTAGATTTAGTTTAGTTTCTACATTCATCAATTCATCTTCAACCCAAATTTATTTAGTTTTAGAAAACAAAGATGACCACTTGGCTCCTTTCTAATTAATAGCTTCCAAATATTGTATACAATTTATACACAGTCCTCTAGATTAGCATACAAATTGCTTCTTATCAGGACAATAAATTACAATTTCCACTTACACACACTTGCATCATGTGACTTCTTCAGATATAATTCCTAGGTTATCACAGTTATCACAGATTCAGAAGCTGCTGAATCTAGCAGTAATGCATGTTTATGTTGGACTAAGGAAATCCTGATTTTGTTTATACTTAGTTAATTATGTAATTTTCTTTTTTACTGAAAATAGATTTTGTTTCATGTAATATATTCTGATTATGGTTTCCTTAATCCCAACTCCTCCAAGATCTTCCCTACATTCCCACCCAACCAGATCCACACCTTTTGTTTCTCTCTTTCATTATAAACAAATAGGCATCTGAAAAAAATAAGTTAAAATAAAAACAAACCAAAATACATAAGAAATAAACACACAACATCTTGGACAAAGACCATAGGAAAAGCAGAAAACAAACACACACAGATGCACACACACACACACACACACACACACACACAACAAAACAACAACAACAACAAATCTACCGTAATTGGTGAGTAAAATACCTGCACTCAGGTTTCACATATATTTGGTTTCTATAGCCAATGTGACTTCACTGGGGAAAGAAAATGAATTTTTTTTTCTTGCTGTAATTATCAACTGGAATAAAAGAATTAGAATGAGGAGTATAGATGATAAACCAAATCTAATTAAGAGCAAATTCATGAAGCCCAGCCAGATAGCTCAGCCAGTGAAAGCACCTGTTGTATAAACCTGGTGCCTGGAGATGGATCCCTGTGACCAATAAAAACAAAAGAGGGTGTTATCTGCCTCCAGTAAAGTGTCTTCTGACCTCTATGAGCATTTCATGGTTTAATGTGTACATATATTTATAACTATCTATCTGTCTATCTGATACATATATACAACAATAACAAATAACAAGATAAAACGTTAAACATTTTAAATTGATAACTTGTTTCAGTGTTTGATACTTGCCCTTTTCAAGATAGCAAAGACTGTTTGCATGGGTTGGCTCACAAGTGACATTTAGTATGTAGATTACAATCCCTTTACCAGGTTAATTCTTGGATAAAAGAGTAAAAAGTCATTCCTATAAACACTGGAATTATTCAACAAATACATATTAGAGAGCACTTTACAGCTTTAAAAAGCATGACCATCACAATTAACACCAGTATCCTTTGATAACAAATAATTTTACGCTAAATATGATCTTCTAACTTTATAAATATTAAAACAACAATGAACGTGACTTTTAATTAAAATTATTTTGAATATTTTATTGATGGTAGCTCACCCTTTAAAATGATAGTTTACTTGAAAATAAATCTTTCCTTTGATAAAATTTTAAATGACCAAGCATGAATGTACTTAGAAATGGCATTAATTTTTCTTTCAGATCAAGATGAATGTAGCATTTACGGAATTTGCAGCCAGACCTGCTTGAATACGTATGGATCCTATGCTTGCAGTTGTGTGGAAGGCTATATAATGCAGTCAGACAACAGATCTTGCAAGGTCAAAAATGGTAAGTCACAGGCTTTGTTCTTGCACAGTCTCTTTTTCTCTTTCCTACAGTTCTTCCTTTCGTGGTGTGGTGCAGCCATGAGGACTAGACTGGGATAGCTTTTCCTCATGTGAACGCACACTGACATGTGATAGAAACTTAGAATAATCCTTTTGAAATTGTGGTGCTCTTATAAGACCCGTTCCACTTGAGAAACATGTAGAAAAAAGGTAGAATAATGAATTTTCATTATTCTATTTACTGGACTCTATAAGATTTTTTTGAGTAAACTTTTTTTTTTTTAACTTTGAGCCTGAAATTTCCACTCCATTTATTGTAGCCTGCTAAGATGTACTTCACACTATTATTTTACTTAAAATCTGTTAATAACGTCTTCTCATCCTGAAAATTAAATGTGAGCTCCCGGAAGGACAATGAGGGCCTGACTACCTAATTTGCCACTTCTATTTTCAATACCATGTCCCTGCCCCCAGCCCTTTCCTACACCTCTTCTGTTGTCTACCCCAGAAACCCCGTTCTCCTTTTTCAGCCACACTAGCCTTGCTTTGAGTCATCCCACTTATCAGCCTACAATACACTCAGCTTCCCACGTCATGGGACTCTTCCCTTCTCTTCCAAGGCTCTACCACAAGGTTAATATTTTAAGATCAGAAGGAAGGAGAGGAGGACCTCCACTCTCAGTGGACTTGGGGAGGGGCATGCGGGAATAAAGGGGAGGGAGGGTGGGGTTGGGACGGTAGGAGGGAGGGGCTAATGGGGGTATACAAAGTGAATAAAGCGTAATTAATAAAAGTTAAAAAGAAGCCTTTTCTTAAGGTTAAACTAAGTGAAACTCTGTAAACTGCTACTGTTTCTCTTAAAGACCTCACAACATGTTTGACCATTTCTTTGAGATAATATGTAAATTATTTATTAAAAATAGTTTGCATACAGGATCATAGAATCTCCTTCAATTCTGGGTTTATTTGAATTAACAGTTTCATATACAAGGTGTTAATCATTTGTGTGTGGGAATTCATAGCTTTAAAACCATCAAACCATGTTCTATGTCCTTAATTATCCTTTCACTAAGAGTTTTGATTCAAAATATTGATGTACTGAAGAATGCTGATTCCTTGCTGTTCCTGTGGAGAGACACAATATTATAGATGCCCAGGGAGAATGAAATGTGATAAACCTGACTCGAGAAATCCCTGCTCTCCTTTCCACAGACGTAGCTTATCTGACAGTAATAGGATATGACTAGAGGAGGGTGGCACATGCTAATGTCACACTGTATCAAGAAAATGTGATGACTTTAGAACCGATAATGGAGTATACAAATCACCTCTCTGCCCTTAGCTTGAAGACAATATCTGTCTACAGAGTTTGAAAAATAAACAGTTGCTATGGAGATAGGGTTCTGGCTTAAAGTTTAAAGAAAATGAGCTGCTAATAATAAGAGCCTAAGTCTGTATCAAAGAGCAACTTCTTTTGAAGGTCACATGAATATTTGATTCCATCCATTTGCACAATTCAGGAAGAAAACTATCAGTATGTTTTAGTTTTCTCACATTCAGAGCAAATGAACCAGAGAAAATAGTTGGCTTTGGTTACAGGTACATTTCTAGTTAATACACCACATTTACATATATATATGTATTGCTAAAATTCCCAGAGATTAGGGAAATGTACACCTATGAAGGCCAAATGATGGAGAGATTAGCTAGACCCAGATTAAGCAGGAGAGTCTAACTACAGAGAGCTCCTGGGAACAAAGGTTCTTTATAGGAACAGGTGGTTAAATGGCTGGCAAACTGCTGAAGTCTCAACATAAATTAATGCTGTGGCCTTTTAACTAGTCACTCCAAAGCAAGCCTTTGGGGTCTTATTTTCAAATCAAAAAATAATTAAGCAAGTTAATATAGTTAATTTGTTCATTCATCTTTGTGGTGACATGACTGCACACGAGTAAAATTTATAAGCCTTAAGAACATCTTCTTGCCAGGCCACAGAAGAAGACAATACAACCAGTCTTAATGAGACCTGATAGGCTAGGGTCAGAGAAAAGGGGAGGGAGACCTCCCCTATCAGTGGACTAGGGAAGGGGCTCAGGGGGAGAAGAAGGAGGGAGGGTGGGGTTAGGAGGAGAAGAGGGAGGAAGCCATAGCCAGGATACAAAGTGAATAAAATATAAATAATGATAATAATATTAAAAGCATGATGAAGTGGAGATAACCTAAAACCCTGGCTCAGATGTAGCCCATAGATTCAGTATCCAAGTGGGTCCCTAGTAAGGGGAGGAGGGGCTTTCTCTAGCATGAACTCAGTGACAAGTTCTTTGATCACTCCCACTGGGGGTGGTGGTGGTGCAGTCTTTCCAGGCCACAGAGGAAGACAAAGAAACCATTCCTAATGAGACCTGATAGGCTATAGTCAGATGGAAGGGGAGGAGAAACTCCCCTATCAGTGGACAAGGGGAAGGGCACAGAGGGAAAAGAGGGAGAGAGGGCAGGCTCAGAAGGAGATGAGGGAGGGGGCCACAGCCAGGATAAAAAGTGAATAAAGGGTAATAATAATAATAATAATAATAAATTAAAATACTTTTTAAAAGGAACAGAAATAAGTAAACTTAAAAAGGGAAGAACCATCTTTATGAAGCATGCTTAATGGAGAGAAGGGGGTCACAGGATTTGTGATTAGGCAGAAAAGGAGTAATATTAAACAAGAATCTTTAGTTCTTAATTTATGAAATGGAGGAGTCCCCCAAAACATTTTACACTCTCTGTCGATCTCTTTAAATATAAGTAAGTGTAATTAAATATTTTTGAATTGGAAATCTTCATAAGTAATCTTCTGCAGTCCCACTTGTTACTGTATACTCAAAAGGAATAATTTATAAAAGAGAGTCATTGAGTAATGTACATTTCTAAAGTAACACCAGGTGTGAATACTGCAATAATCCTGAACTCGTGTAGGAAACTTACTAAACGTGAGATGAACTACTATTTATCACCACAATGGGGTTTACATTAAGAGCTAACAACTGTCTAATCAAATATTAAGTTCAAAACAACCATTTATGTCTACCCAGTGAAACTTCCTGAATATCTTGACCTCGTTTTCCAAATAGACTTTTGATAATGGCTTGTTTACTTTAAAATTTACTAAATCCATCTTCCCTCTTCTTAAATATTTTAAATTGACTTTCATGTAAAAATATATGAGTATAGGTGTACCGGAACTCGGGTTTCAAATTGGACTCACAAAATGCTGTTTCCAGTAATGGAGAAAGGTATTACTTACAGGCTTTTGGCAGTTTTATTTTTTATGAATTCAGGCCTGTTGTTCTGTTTGTTCAGTGTCCTAACTGCTTACTGAAAGCAGATGTCTTGATCAGTGGAATTCCACTGATGTACTGAAATGGTAGCAACACGAAGAGGCCAACATTGATTTTATGCTCGTCACCATGAAGGAAAAGTCTGGGAGAGTATTCTTTTAGTAAGTGGAGCAGCTACAGCCTTGAGAGATGCGTACCTATTGGCTAGCTTCAGGATTCTGTTGTAGCTTTTATATTTTTTTAAATTATCTCTTTTGGGTTTTTTTTTTTGTTATAATATTATTACTCATTTCCCACATATTTTTCTGTTTCTAGAACCTATTACATTCTCCTCCTTGCTCTCTTTCAAATTCATGCCCTTTTGTTTCACTAATCATTTTTGCATATGTGGTGTGTGTGTGTGTGTGTGTGTGTGAAAATTCCTAAATATATAAGATATATAAGTACAACTTGGTTAGTCTATATGATACCTGAATATACGGTTTCAGAGCTGACAATGAAAGCATGCATCTTTTACTTTTGTTGCTCCCTGGTTTAAGGAAAAACAAAATGAGCCAGAATGAAGGGAAAACTCTGCTAGCTACTCGAAGCCTTACATTGGTTTCGTGCAAGGCGATACATCACTAAAAAGAGGGGGAAAACAACACATCAGTGCTGCTTGATGCTTTCATCACTCTAAAAAAAGGAAGAAAAAGAAAGAAAGAACATAATCAAAAGTGTAGCTTCCAGCCTTCTAAACAAAAGCTACAGAAATAATTTAACATCTCCTGACACAATATAAGAAGATATCTTTGGTTGGATAATTAACCACCATTGATGCCAGGGCTGTTTCTGCTTCTTAGGCAGCAGGTGGGATCCTGTGGAGGAGAGAACTGTCTCTCTCAGAAAGTCGTTTGCAGTTCAGTTATTAAAGCACTCTTCCAAGATTATTTTTCTAAAACTCACTGCAAATTAAAAGCTTTATTATGAGAATAATGCGTAAGAGCACTGCATATCTCAGAACAGCTTCTCGTGAAAGGTCAGTGGACAGGTTACAGTTGCATCAGGGCTGTTTGCTCCTTGTAGAAGTCCTTTCGTTGACCTGTATGTATGACTGTCAGTTGGTGACAAGATGAGATGTGATGTGTTCTGAGCTAAGATTGATCCTGGTCAACCAGGACAGAGCAGCAATTTGTTTGTTTGTTTGTTTTGTTGTTGTTGTTGTTGTTCTTTACATGTCACACACAGACGACATTATGAACACCCAGTGAATAGTTAGTGGCACAAAAATAGCTCATTGTTTAGAGAAGTTAACGCACATGATTCATTTTCCTTAGAAGCTTCTGGGAACCAAGATGAGGCTATAGCAGTTTTGAGACTAAAGAGAAGAAGAGCAAAAGGCCTGGGTGTAATGTACAGAAAAGTGGATATTTTGCCAGTTTTGCTGTATTATTTAGGATTGACTGTAACTTTGGGGGGTACTAGCCTCGGGGTGGCTTAGTCACCTCTGCCTTAATTTGCTTGCATGTGTCATCTGCTCCAAGGTTTCTCTTTCAGAAAAAAGCCTGAAATGTTAGAAGGGCTATATGTGAACTAAGAATAATCCAGTCAAATAAACTCTCCACTCAACAACCAAGTTGTATTGTCACAAGTTCTACCCTGTGGAAATTCTAGAATTTGCTCATATGTCTAAATCTGAGCA